TCGTGCAATAAATTCCAGTAACAGTATCGAAGCTGCGGTAACCTGGTAAATGAACATCGCACGGTATTACCATGTTTATTTGACCCAGTGATAAGTGCTATTTTCGTTTGCGCTCCATTTACCGGCCGGAAACACTTATAGATAGCGTTGCTGTTTCTTTAATTGCAACACAATGTGCAATGTAACTCGCGTTCAATCTGTGTTTTTCCCGTATACTAGGAATTTTAAACGGGTCTCATAAAGTAAGTTTCCTCCCGGCCCGTTTTATATCTGTTTTGTCAAGAATGGGCAGTGAAAACCCACAGTTATCGTCAACTTATATTGTAATATAATAACATATTTGTACCAAGATGAATATTTCACTTGTAAAAGGTTGTTGTATCCATAAAATATGAAGTCCTGGTGTTATGCATATTATAAAGTACTTATACATATTTTAAATTTTCTTAGTGCGTATAAATGCTGTGGCAAAAAGTGAGTAACTTCATGTTATCCTTGTTTTCCAATTCCAATGAAGACGTTTAACTCAGAATACGGCTCCGACCGGGTGTTGTCTGCGTCAAAGTATTTCTTATCGTAATTCTTGCGAATCACAATCTAACATGCGATAAATCTGCGATTATCATAATATTATAATATCTTGCTCGTTCAAACAACATTTTCACGTACACTTAAGTAAATATTCAGTCGTGCAAGTTTTACGAATATCTGCTTTTAAATAATAACAATGAGATCGATAATTATTTATTGCTTGAACTCACTACAAAGACAAATTGTTATAAATAATATAAAACGTCTGAATTGTATATGAATAATTTATACTGATTTTTCATGTTAAAATAGTATAAATATTTATATATTCATCCATCAGACTGTACGTCATGGCGGTCGTAGACCTCCCTGAAATATCGTCGTTATGAATAATTGCTTCCTTTTCTTTCCGATATTCGGGATTTATTTACTTAATTACGTTTCGATAAATAAAACATTAATCTAGTAACCGGTTCTCCTGTCACATAGGCGGTTTATCAGTGCTCGACATCGATTAGTTTCGAGCCTATCGGGAGATCTTCTTCAGGGTGAGCAGTACTGGAATTATTTTGCGGTCCAGCACGGCGCGACTTGAGGGGTGCACAGGCGTTGTCGATGATATTGATACCGTCTCAGTTGTTAATGTTTAAGTTTCGGTACAGACACCAAATTAATTCCGTGTTAGCCGTTTCATATTTAGTGAATAATGATGTCTCACCAAAGTTTAAATAATTAAATTATATGCTTTTAGATTTACCAAATCATTTTATTAGGTGCGTCGGTAAAATTCGTATGTTTTAGCAAAATATTTAACTATAGCTCTGTGGCCATAAGATAATTGTCTTGATTGTTGATTCCTCTTTCGATAATTGGCGAAAGTATTTATATTTTTACAGCAAACCAAAACGTTGAAGTTAAATTATATGGCGTGTTTGTCAGGTCGTGATCTGGCTTTTGTCCAAACGGCTAGACCAAGTTTAAACTTTCCAAAGTTATTATAGACTACGAAGGCTAGGTTTAATTATACAAAATTTAGTTTCTAAAACTGTATTTAAAGCGATAGTCGTTTGATATAACTTCAACTTATAATTTTCTTTAGAAATGCAGAGGTATTAATCATAAAGTTTTTATGGTATGGTATTCTTTTTCGAATTCGTAGACAAATTAAGTGGCCGCATGTTTTTAAAATAGGCAATCTATCAAGTAACTGATAAAAATTATGTAGGGATACTGAACTAAATGTAAAGTTGACTACACGAATGTAATCAAACGAATCGTCTTAACTAAACTAACACAGCTTAAATGTGTAGATGTATGAATATGTCACTAACACGAGAAAGACATTCACCTTATAAGTCTTATAAGTTGAATGTGTCTCGTCTCGACGCTAAGTGAATTTCTTAGAAATAAAACTTGCGCCAATCAAGTTTGTACGTAAACAAGTCTATTGTTAACTTTATATTGCGAATGACTCAGCTTATTGCCCATTCCGACTACACGCGGGGAAAACATTCTTACTAGAAATTTTAAAATACCGTTATTTCATGCAAATTGAAGCGCATAAAAATTCTTGAAGCCATGCAATGAAAGGAGAAATGTGTGTTCGTAAAGTGGTGTGCAAGATAGAGTATTACTACCTCGAAAGCATCCTGCTATTAGCCTTGGCTAAAGCTCACATTGTTAATGTAGAGTAAAATCTCAAGGCGACCAGCTTTTAAATGTTACACGTTGTGTATTTATCTAGAACTAGCAACCTATATTTCACTTTCAATATGTAACTAACTGTTTGTTCCCAACACCTTGATTCTGGAAAATGTAGCTTTCTAATGCAAGGATAAGTATTAAAATCTATTGCGTAGTTTCAAAGTTAAACTATAATAAACAACTGAGCGCATGTTTCTGATTGTAAATAATTGCATCTATACTCGTGTAAAAATGTTGATAAGTAAAAAGCGAAGAAATATTTCACCAATTATTGTGAGCGATATACGTCGAAATTACACACGTAGTCGTATATATAATGATTTCATATAAAAATAATCAAATACAGCTGTCCAAACAAGCATGTCGAAATACTAATACAGCCATAGCACGTCATAGTACAGTCGGCATGTGAATATGTTCCGTGTGCTGACGCTACACGTGATTCATGCCTTATCGCAAAACTACACCGGCGAGCCTCGCCACTCGACGAGCTTTGCCCGGAACTGCCTGTTTCAATACGGTAAATAAGTGCAATGTAAGAGTGACCATCATTTATGATTTTTTTAGGAATTTCTAAAATTAGGAAACTAATATCATATGTTGGTAAAAATGTTATTTTGTTTAACATCGCGATTAGGAATGTGTTGAAATAAACTTTCTTTTGATTATAATTCGTACATATTTTTTGCAGAACAATTAGTAATTATTCACAAGTTTGTAGAAATCGAATGTAATAAAAACATTATAATTTCAGTTTAAATACCTTCTCTGACGGTTTATACTTCCAATAAAACCTAACACTTAAATGTTGACGCACAATTAAGACATGTCATGGAAATTCCATAATATTTTTAATTCGCTGTCATCCTAGCCCAGTGAAAGTATTGGTCCGATCGTACGGATCACTTTCTTTTAGCGTATCTTGCTTAATCTTTTACCTGTTGCGTCGACCGCTAACTGTTGCAGCCAAGACCGACGCGATAACATCATACCAATATGCTAACTAGTTAGCGAATGAAAACTTTTTTTAGCTTTTTATAAGCCAAACATACGTATTGAAGAAATACCGCTAAACATATAATTAACTTTTGTTTAATACTATTTTAAACCGTGAAATTCTCCTCCTGTGATGCTTTTACTGTTGTCTCTGTAGTTAAATACCATCAAGTGCTCCTACAATTTAGTTTAAACTAATATAAAAGTATTGATATAGATATATGAATCACTTTGGTGGACATCATGCAATGAGATTATTGAATAGGACATAATTACTCATGTCGTTATATAATAAGATTACTATTGTGTTGTATAATTTTGTTTGCACAAATCAAACAAAGCTATACTAAAGAAAATAATAACCATACAATTATCCATTAATATACATTCTTACTCTTCATAGAATTAAATATTATACAAGATAAAGACTATATCTTTGTTGCTAGACATCAACCAACACAATCTTTGAGTCAGATGTATACTAATTGGTTATCCTTTTCCCTCAGATCAGTAGAGCGGTACGTGCGAGTGAAATGGAAAGAGGTGCGAGTGGGAGACCTGGTGCACCTGTCAAACAACGAGGCGGTACCAGCGGACATGGTGCTGCTGCACTGCTCCAACCCTGCAGGCGTCTGCTACCTCGATACCTGCAACTTGGACGGCGAGACCAACCTTAAGCAGCGCATCGTGGCACCTGGCTTCAGAGAAAAGGTTAGGAATAGCTCACTCTGTTTTATACGAATATTTTGATATGAGCGTAGACAAATTACTTCTCTATATTTCTTCTCAACGCATAAATTCTTGTACATTATTCACTCGCGTTAATAATAAACACTCGGATAAATACTGAGCTACGTAATAAATCTTAAATGTGTAAACATTGACGTTTAAAAATGTACATTGAAGTAGGTTTATAGTTCAATCGTTGCATGGGAATTGTATCTTTGCTGTCGACGCCGATGTCAAGTGACCGTAAACAAGTCTATTGTCCGACTTGTAGCTCACAGACTAGATAACCACTGGACCGTTCATGTTAAATTACTAAATTTACATTTAACGTCTTTTTATCTATTGTCAAAGTTTAATTTTATCTACCGTTTTATTGTATTACAAGTAATAAATTACTTAAAATAAAAACATAAACTTTTCACTCAAAGTAACTGAAAACATTGTATTGTATTGTCATTGTATCAAAGTGTGAATATGTTTGCAACTTTGTGAAAACCAAGGATTCTCTTTGTACTAATATATTAAGCTCCACCCTAGTATTCTTTCCATATCGATCTAGTTAATCCAGTAATGGCCTCTAATATTATTTTTAACTCTACAGCCGAGTTAAAAATAATCTTTGTATAATACGAACCAATGTTCCGTAACAATGTTTAAACTTGTTCAAATTAATTTTCAGCATAAAGACTTCTGCCCTCTGAAATTCAGAAGTACAGTTGAAGTGGAACGACCGTCGACCAAAATATACAGATTTACCGGAACAATTTCACATCCTAATGGAATCCGAGTCCCGCTGAATTCAGAGAACTTATTGCTAAGAGAGTGCACTATAAAAAATACAG